TTCAAAGGTTCTTAAAGGGGTCATGTTCAATAAAGATGTTGTGGCTCCTGGAAAAATGAGAAGGAAGATAGTAAATCCACGCATCATCCTTTTGGATTGCCCTGTTGAGTACAAAAAGGGAGAAAATCAGACAAATGCTGAGTTGATGAGTGAAGAAGATTGGTAAGTGATGTCTAGATTCAAATTCTCCTGCCCATATGTACTGTGAACTAGATTAATCCTATTGAGTTGCTATCGGTCAGGATCTAATAATTTGGTAAATATGCTATTACAGGAAGGTTCTGCTAGATATGGAGGAAGAATACATAAAGAACCTCTGTGTGCAAATTTTGAAATTCAAGCCTGACCTGGTTATCACAGAGAAAGGACTCAGTGACATGGCTATGCATTATTTAAGCAAGGCTGGCGTTAGTGCAATCCGTAGGCTTAGGAAGACAGATAACAACAGGATTGCTAAAGCCTGTGGTGCAGTTATAGTGAACAGGCCAGAGGAGCTTCAAGAATCAGATGTGGGAACACGAGCTGGTCTCTTTGAGGTTAAGAAGATCGGTGATGAATTCTTTTCCTTCATTATTGAATGCAAAGATCCTAAAGCATGCACTGTTCTGTTGAGGGGAGCAAGCAAGGACATCTTGAACGAGGTGGAGAGGAACCTTCAGGTATTGGTCTGCTCGTTTTGTCCTATTTATTATTTTATTTCATAGTAAGAACTGCTCTCAACCTTTCCCTCTTTTTTTTGCATTCACAGGATGCCATGTCTGTTGCACGGAACATTTTGAAAAACCCAAAACTTCTACCTGGAGGTGGTGCTTCTGAATTGACTGTATCGGCAACACTAAAGCAAAAGAGTTCTTCAGTTGAAGGTGTAGAAAAGGTATTGCCTCAGAAGTATTAATGCTAGCATTTATGAGTAATGAAGTCATTTAGGCAGAGGCCTATTAGTGCATTCACACAAGTCCATGCTACCACAGCGAACTGAAATAAATGTGTTTTTGTGTGTGTTTGGGGCATTGCACATATAGCTTTCTGTTGTGATTATCTTATGATTCGAGTATCTAATTATCCTCTGTTTATTTTTATCAGTGGCCTTATGAAGCTGCTGCTTTAGCATTCGAAGCGATCCCAAGAACTTTGCTTCAAAATTGTGGTTTGAATGTTATCAGGACGATGACACAGCTCCAGGGAAAGGTAATAACTCTTCTTCTAGATATTGAACTATCCAGTGACCTTGTTAAAAAGTTGACGAAGAAAGGGAGTCCAGCATTTTATATACACGGATCCTTTTTGACATGTTTTTGTTATATAGCTCGAAGTGTCGCAGCTTCCTTGACATGTTTTTCTTATATAGCTGGAAGTGTCACAGCTTTACCATTGGACTTGAGCTTTGGAAATTGCTTAGCTGTAGGTTTTAGACTTTTTGAATAAACCACCCTTTATAAATTGAGCCAGTTGTAAGAAGGCTTGGTTTGGCAGTTTGGCACTGCAACGGCTTTGATACAGTACCTCAAGAATCGTTTTTGAGCTATTATGGATGACTATGGGATTATCTACAACAACTGCATTCCTAAATACAGTGCAGCACATAACTTTTAACTGCAAATTGGTGCTTACAGTAATTAAAGCTTAAGCATCATTTCCCACCCCAAATCGAGTTAATACTTTATCTGTATGATCCTGTTTTTTTTTTCAATTTTAAAATATTACACTTGTATTTTCGCGAGTGTTGGTTAAATTCCATTGTTTTGCTTCAGCATGCGAACGGTGAAAATCCTTGGGTTGGCGTTGATGGAAGGACTGGTGATATTGTTGACATGAAAGAGCGGAAGGTAGTATTTTTACTCTTGCATGAATTCTACTGTCCCTTCACTTGTATTGTGTGCGTGCATGTCTAAGCACCCCACCTTTTGGTGTTGGTGTTGTAGATCTGGGATTCTTACAGCGTGAAGGCACAGACCTTCAAGACAGCTATCGAGTCAGCTTGCATGCTTCTAAGGATTGACGACATTGTCAGTGGAATCAAGAAGAAGCAGGCTCCTGGCGCCGGTGCTCCCAAGCAACCCCAGATTGAAACGGGTGAAGATGCAGACACTGAACAGATGATCCCGGAGTAGAACTATTGTGCTGTTGGAGTGAGCAAGCACCGGCGATGTTGTGTGCCAAAGCTAGAAAAAAGTGCCCGCGGAGCAGAATGTTTTATTAACACGTGAAATGTCCTCGCCTGGTTGCATTTCTTGAATGTTTGATGGTGGCCGGACACCTTCAGGGTCGTCTAATATTAGTTTGGATTGTAGCTTTTTCCTATGTCGGATGGCGAGCGGTATGCGGGTTTCAGTTGTGTAATTGTATCAGCATTTTGGGATCTGACTGTTGCATGGATGGTTGCTGTTCGGTTTTGTTTTTGGACTTTGTACTGAACGTATATCAGAACTTGAATTTAACAGCAAAACTAGCTTTGTGACGATGCCAGTTTTCTTTTATTATTATAGTAAGGCGATGCCAGTTCGTCGATGCTGTTGTGGCACTACCTGAACTTTCTCGATTGGAAGTTCTCCAATTCACTTTCTTATTCTATCCCCCTCCTGCTTTCTTATTCTATCCAACTCAAAGTTATGCAAGTCAAAGGGAAATCTTTGAACGCGCCGCTTTTGTTTGTTTTGTTTTGAATGCTTATTAGGGTTCAAAAACATTACAAATGCATGGGGAAACATAAGAATTTTTTCTAGCCATAAAGTTGAGTCTACCAATGCATATCAAGCCGAATTTTGGAACATATAAATAGTGTCAAAGTAAATATCTTGCCATATATTACCTCCGACCCAAATTACAAATTTAAGAAGTAATTAGGGATGGAGGAAGTATATATAGTATTTATTTGATTTGGCAATTATGTAGTTTTGACATAATGTTTGTCTGATTTTGGCAACAAGAAGAATGGGGAAACATAATACTACTATATTTTTTTTGTAAACACACTCAAATGCGACCCCAATAGATGAAATCTGACAAAATGAACCTTCATAAATACTCCCGCCACCCCCATAATGTAAAATATTTTTGCAAGCTATGTTAGCTTGCAAAAACATATTATATTATGGAACGGAGGGAATATATAAATAGTTCATTTTGCTTATTCGGCTTGAAACCAGTCTAGCCTACATTCTCAAATTCTAATACCAGAATACTAACCCTTGAACATGTGAGGAGTCCGTCACGACACAAAATAAGACAATTGAGGACATGGCATAAAAGTATTTTGTGGCCCACTTCCTCAAAACAGTCTAGGAGAAGAAGCGTAGAAAAGGGGATAGAGGATTTACCTGGGAGAGATAAGAAAAGAGGGGTTGTAGATTCTCATGAAACCCGTGTGCCGCCGAGTGGGCTATGAAGAATCTGTTGTTTTGTCGATAGATGCTTATCTTTGCTCATTTTGCATAGAAGCTCATCACTTTACTAATTGATGGTGATGAATCAATTGTTTTGTTGGGAGATGCTTTCCTTCTATGCAATGAAACCGTTAGCATAAAGATAGCTTGAAAGTCAAAACAAATACTACTCATCTTTGTTTACAACGGCAAAAACATAGATAAGAGGCATATCAACTCAAAGCGCAAAATATATTTTTTCCCACAAAAAACAAAGAAGGGTGAAATATATTAAGCGCCTCAAATAAACCACGAAATATGAATTCCCATTTGAAAAAAAGAATCACTATGTTTTTTCTAGGCAAAATGAAAAAGATTAATTTTTTTCTAGGCCAGAAGAAAAAGAAAGAAACCCAGTGGTATATCTGTTTGAATTTGGTGGCGCTCCGTTGGCCAGTTTGGCGGTTTTGACGTCATATCTGCGCCCGGTATCCGATATATATGGCGATGTAGACCTGGGGGACGGCGAGAGGGGAGACCTGGGAGGCATTTTTTTCCAAGAAGAAGAAGACCCGTCCAACCCTTCTCTCCCCATCCCTCCCCCAACCCCCCCAAGTCGATATGCCTCCCAGACGCAAACCCCAACCGTCGGCGAAGAAACCCCTGCGGCGTTCCGGAAGGGTCAATTCCGCCGCGGCCATGGCCGATTCCGCCGATCCAACCCCGTCCCCGCCGCCGCCGGAAGCCTCCTC